ACCCTGTACAGGGTTTCTGAGGCTGTAAATCTTTACGGGAGCAGAGTGCCTTATGTTTCTCCCACAGAACAACTGGTAGTCTCAAACTGCTGACCTTGCTGTCCGCAGCCCTATTTGTAACCACTGTGCTACCAGAGCTTCATATAAGGTTATAGCATGCAAATAAGGTATATGAAATTCTAACATGGGATTGGTCAATTTTGCCATCCTGCTGTATTTTAAATGAGCATCTCAGAAGTGGAATGGGAGAATCTCTACCATCAAGAAAGAAGATTCAAGAGCAGTCCTTTGGGCCCAGACATCCCTGTGCACAGAGACAGCGGAACCAAGTGTATGAGATTGAGCAAGTGCTTCCTGGCCCATAGAGTAAGACAGGAGTGCCTTGTGACTGGAGACTTGGTTGCAGAGTTACTTATCTGGGGAACTAAGTTTGCTGACCCATGAAGCTAAAGCTGCACTTTTGGACTGAAGTTTACTGGCAAAATGTAATGTTTGGGGGCGCTTACTGCAGAGCTAAAAGAGCTTTGTAATAGTGCATGAATAGGGCAGAGCCCAAAGGACCACGTGTCTGAGGGACTGAGAATTAGACGTACGCCTGGAGTCCTGGTGGGAGCTGTGGGTTGATGCGCTGGACTGCAAAGTCGATCTGAACCACGAGGTTGGTGGTTCAAACTCACCAGCTGCTCCTTGGAAAACCTTATACAGGGTCACTGTGGGTCCAAACTGACTCAGTGCCACTTAACAACAACAGCAATATGCCTGCGGGCATGACTGAGAAAAGTCTGTCCTGAGAGAAAAGCTGTATCCTAAATTGTAGGCTGTTAACTTCCCTGTTAAGGCACTCTGGTAGCGTAGTGGTTACGAATTGGGCTGAGAACCACAAGGTCAGTAGTTCGAAACTATTAGCGGTTCCGTGGGAGAAAGATGAGGCTTTCTGCTCCCGTAAAGATTTACAGCCTCGGAAACCCTGTACAGGGTCGCTGTGAGTCGGAACCGACTCCTTGGCACATAACAACAACAACTGTTGTAAAGTGCCATCGAGATGGTTCCAACTCATAGCAACCTTGAATAGGGTTTCTAAGGAGCGGCTGTTATCTTCCCTAATAAACCCATATTTGTGAGTATTGTGTGAATTCTGTGTGACCATTGGAATGGATTATTGAACCTAGCAGAGAAATAGGTCAGTAGGAAGGACAGTTGGTGTTAGAATTGGTAAGAAGGTTGGCGGGCATGTCTGACCTCTGCTTCATAGGAATCAACCTTGGGCTGATATTGAATTTGAGTCTCCTTCCCCCTTGTGAAGTCAGAGGAGGTCAGAAATGACCTCTATGCCAACCTTTGGTATGGGTTGCACCTCACTGTAAAGAAAACAACAATCCTCACTACTGGACCAATAAACAACATCCATGTAAATGGAGAAGAGATTGAAGTTGTCTAAGACTTCATTTTGCTCAGATCAACCATCAATTCTCATGGAAGCCTCAGTCAAGAAATCGAACGGTGTTTTGCATTAGGCAAATCCACTGCACAAGACCTTTTTAAAGTGTTCAAGAATCTTGCAAAGATAACAATTTGAAGACTAAGGTGCACCCAACCCAAGTCATGGTATTTTCAATAACCTCATACGCATGCAAAATTTGGACAGTGTTTAGGGAAGACCATAGAGGAATGGATGCAATTGGAGAATACTGAAAGTACCATTGGCTGCCAAAAGAACAAACCAATCTGTGTTGGAAGAAGTACAGCCAGAATGCTCCTTGAAAGCCAGAATGGCCAAACTTTGTCTCTCCTACTTTGGACATATTGTCCAGTCCCTGGAGAAATGATGCTTGGTAAAGTGGAAGGTCAATAAGTTGTGTCCCATCAGCAAATAGGTCCTGAAAGCTGTACTCCATTTATGTAATCACGGTCAACTCTGTTTTGAGGGGGTAACTCTTCCCCAGTCATATTTTGAATACTTTCCACCTTGAGGGTATCATTTTCCGGCTCTATATCTGACAATATTCTGGTGCTCTTCATCATGTTTCAGTATTCAGGATTCTGGTGTTGACAGTGTTCCACTGCTGTTCATAAGGTTTTCAGTGACTAAATGTGTGGAAATAGTCCTATCTAATGTGGCCTCTAAATTCCTGAAGTGCCTTCCATAGCTCCATGCCCTACACAACTACCCCCTCAGCATTCTAACTTTGTATTGCCTGCTTGTCAGATCAGATAGCCGTGTCATTGACTACTGCCCATGAATTGGTTATAGTCCAAATATATGTTATCTTTCCTCAATTCTTCCCTCACGGTTAGAAAGAGAGCATGCAGTTCACCCCATTGAATTGACCTGTTTTTACTTTACAAATTTCCTAATTGTCTACACTAGAGGGTTTCTTACATTTCTGTGGTAAGCTGTAAATGACTTAGTTTGATACTTTTGGTCTGTTTTTGTGTTGACTGCCTGCACTGTGATGCATATGTACTTTGCAGACATTGGTCCATATACTATGCAAATGAAACCCTATACAGGGTTGCTATGGGTCGGAACTGACTTGACAGTATTTCACAACAACTGTGCAAATGTCAGTAACAGCTCAGGAGAGGATGTGCTGGTTCATGGTATTGATGGGGATGGGGGCATGCGCCGAAATGAACAAGGAATTTGCTTGAATAAGCAGTCAATGCAATGGAGGTTTCAGAAACCAAAGTAGAAGCACATAGAAAACGTGAAGAACCAGAAAGGAAAAAAGGCAAAAGACAAAAAGAAGGAGAGGGAACAAAGAAACTTGAAGTGTTATGCTAGTCAGTGGCTGTGTTGTTGTTGTTATGTGCCGTGGATTTGGTTCCGACTCATAGTGACCCTGTACAGGGTTTCCGAGGCTGTAAATCTTTACGGGAGCAGAAAGCCTCACCTTTCTCCGGCGGAACGGCTGGTAGTTTCGAACTGCTGACCTTGTGGTTCACAGCCCATAGTCAACGGCTGTACCACTGAAGAAAATAGGAGGCCAAGACGGGGCCTAGTGGCAGAACAGGTAGCAGATGTCCCAAGAAGAATCCAATGTCAGAGCCAGCAGCGACAGAACTAGAAGGGCCCTGCAGTGTGATAGATCACTTGTGTATGGTCTCTCTCGTCACAGTCAGATATAGTATCTCTAAACCTTTTTTGTCGTTAAAGCTGCTTTGAGGACTAAAGTTTGCCTGACCTAAGCTATGGTGTTTTCAGTCATTTAATATGTTAGACAATGAATAAAGCAGATTGAAGAAGAATTGATGTAATTAAAATTGT